GCAAACAGTGAGTAAGATAGATAGAACAAAGAATGGACAGCTTCACCTGCCTTGTATTCTCCCATGAAGAATTGCTACAGGCATTTCTCATGCCTTTAGCAGAGAGGATAAATGACACCATTCTGCACAGCCACCAACTGCTGATTTAAAGGTCTGACAATCAGAGTTATGACTTCCAGCTGCCCACCCTGCTCCTGTGCCAGAAGTTACCATCCCCACCATGACGTGTACCTGCTTCCACACTGGAAAGCATCATATCTTAGCTCAACCCACTCACCAACAGCCTCAGGACCTGGAAAGGAGTTATGGCACTGTGTTAAGCACAGGGCTGCAGCAGAGGAACTGGAGACTAAGGACAGCTAAAGCTTCTCTGGGCTGTAACTCCATGCCATGCACCAGGACTGATCACAAGACCTTTGCTTACTTCTGAAGCTGAAGCTTTAGGAGAGGAAAATCCAGCTGTAGTTAATCTTTCCTGGTTTTCTAATGGCAACAGTACTGATTAACCTTGAAAGAATATCTAAAAATACATAGAAGTAATGAGCTTACATGGTGCAGTTTAGTGCTGTGTGTGCTTCTGGCTGAAAATTGGACAAAACCCACAGGTGCCATTGTCTGTTTCATCTCATTTCAGTTTAAGCAGTTCGACATGAAGGCTTTGAGGAAGGAAACTGCAGAGAAGAGGCAGCAAACCTTGCATAGGAAAACATAGGGGTTCAATCTACAGGAACTTAGAGTTTTTCTCATGGCCAGTATAAATCATCTTTCCCCAACTGCACTAAAGGACAATATTTTACACCAGCTTGTCACTTGGGTTTCCAGAGTGGCTGCAGTGGGGTCATGAATTGACATCTTAGCACTGAATAATATTTTGTAGCCACAGGAGTTAACCAAGTGGCTAAAGACTAAATGAATAGAAGCAGTTTGGATCAAATGGATTGTTCATTAGTATCCCAGAGGAGACCCTGTCATTTTCAGCCCTCAGAGGAGCAGAATCTGGGGCATTTGCATGTACTGCTCAGCAAACTGTCAGCACAGCACACTAACAAATTCATAAGAGCTGCCCTTACGTGGACTACTAGGAGGCCAAATGATTAATAGGTTGATCTGTTGAAACTGTTGGTTTCCTAAAACATGACTTAGTGGACTCATTGCTTACGATACAAGAAGCTGTTATTGACATTCCAATAGCTGGTTTTCGTTAAAGACATCTGTGACCTAGAACTGTGAAAGCCTGTTTGGTTTTGCATTTGTGTCATAAATAAACGAAACTCTGCATTTGTATACCCAGCACATGTTTCCTGTAAGGGGTTTGCTTTCAAAGCAGTCAAAGCAAAATACATTGCCTGGTGGCAAAGGCTGCTGATGGGGTACCACTTTGCAGCTCATGGGCATTCATCTCAGGTAAGGATAATGTGACCTGGGGAGATTCTGAGTTTCTTCATGCAATGTTCCTTTTCCATGCCAAGATGGTACCCTGCTTTTATGCAACATGTGGACCCCAGGCTCTTGGGAACTTGCTTTTTGGCAGCCATATTTCTAATCTACAAATACTGCAGAAGAATTTCTCCCTCCTCTCTCTCCTCTCCACAATCCTACATATGTGCTTTGTTCTTGTACCTCCTTCTCCAGCTGTTGGGGAAAGAAACCGGAACTGTAATTACTAAATTTTGCATTAAACTGATTTTTTGAAACTGTCAGCAGCCTAGGAAAGATTATGAAATAAGAAATGGCACAAAGACACAGGATAGCACAGTGATTAAAGATGTATTTATCCTAGACAACCTGATTTTGGCAAACTGATGAGGTCTAGAAAAGGGCTTGGGTCTGGGAAAGGACTTGAGCCTTCAAGGCTGAATCATGTGTTGCAAAAATACCACTCAGCTAATGTTGTAGCCATGCCACTGATGTTCTGAGAGCACTGCATTCTGATGTATTTGTAAAATATGTAGTTGCCATACAGAAGGCACAAAATGCTCAATTATCACAGTCTAAACCCATCCACCCATCTTTCTACCCAGGCGCACTAAGCACTGGACTGCTGTCCATGTTGCCTGCTCTCTAGACCTTAGTGTTTCGGTACACAGGACCAGCTGGAGGAGGTTCTCCCTCTCCTGGACCTGCATGTCTCAGACAAATGCTCTACCTCTTGAGTGACAGAGTTTGGAGAGAAAGGGCACTCTTAAACTGTTAGGCTGAAGCTGTTTCCCTCGTGGGACTAGACAGGAACTGTGATGAATAGCAGCATCAGAAAGTAATTTAGGTCCTTCTTCAGAGGAATCAGGCTTGGAAGGGTTTGGCTGCTGAATCCCCCTTCTCCCAGGAATCTGCAATCTTAGCCTGGAATTATATGTGATAAGAAACCACCCCAAAAAAGAAATAAACCAGAAATAAACCCAGAACCAGGCCTCAGGACTTCACACTGGGATCACAGGAGCTGGGAGATCCTCACAGAGATCTTTGGATAGGACAGCTGCCTCCTGCTGGGGCTGAAGGAGTGAAACCCTCTCATTGTGCCCACGGAGGAATCATCACAGTCTGGTTCTGCGTGGGAGGAAGCAGGAGAGTTTGGGGGGACTACCTGTGCTTATAAAAGGACTAGCATTTAACAAGAAATTGTCACCCTCCCCTGTGTTCAGGGAACCTCTTGTTTAGGATAGGAGGTTGGGACCCTCCAGGCTCTGTTATACCAGGGCCCCTATCTACACACTTGAGAGCATATGCAAACTGCACAGAAGAATGTTGATCCATTGCTTGCATCAAAAGGGGAAGAGTAGTAGCAGACAGAACAAATTTCTTCAACACTGGACAGGACATGGATGGGAAGCTATTCTCCTGGTATGGGAAGATGTTTTCACTGTAATAGATGAGACTGCCTTGAATTTTCAGTTACCAGAAAACTGGTACTTGAACTGGTAAATTACCAGGAAACTGGTTTCTTCAGCAGATAGGATGTCTCACTTCATACTCACTTTTGTTACGTCTGTATTCAGATTCCACTTAGTCTTCTTTTTGTGAATCATGTTTGTAAACTGTACAGTTCAGCTATTCAGGCATTGGGCAAGGTCCTGCCAGTTTCTGTATGCTGGAAGCCTGGAAGCTATTAAAACAGTATGAAATGTCCAAAAAGAAACAATTTTATAACCTGCAAATCCTACCGGTATCTTCCAAGTTCATCTACCATAATTTCTGTTTCCTTGTGGGCAGTTTTAGATTATGTATTAAAATGTTTCAAATGACCAGCACAGACTGGAGGTACTGTGTGTCATAGCTAAAAGGTGCTGCAGCATGTTTTCATTATTGTTATTCTGAGTTAGGAGGTGTCTATGCAGCTCTCTCCAAACACATGTGGGCTGTCTCCTTCCATGCTTTCAACTGACTGAAAACTCTAAATGTGATAAACATGACATCAAAGCTTCCAGGGAGGAGAGCCTCGATTCAGGTTTGTCAATCCTATTCCACAGTCATGAGCCAGATTCCTGCTCTTAACAACCACATCAGGGACTGAATATAGTCTGTGGCTGCTTTCAAAGGACCACCTCATGATACTCTCATCTGACATCCTCCCCATGGATCAACTCTGGCCCATGGGAAGCATGGTGATGAAGCATCCACTCCACAAACTAAGAAGCCACTGTTTAAATTGCAAGGACCTGATTATTTTCTTACTCACAGCAGATGGAGGAGAAAACACAGTAGTCAAGGACTCAGTGTAAATGGAGCTGGCAGTGCTTTCCTGAGACAGCAGACAGCTTGAAACAATGGCTCTGAGAAGTGCGTCCTGCCTTCATTCATCGCACTAGGAGACTTGCCACCGAGTCCCATGGAAACAATGTGAACAGCCATATTCGGGGTTTCACTGCTGATTATTTTAGCAGACAGGATGGGGACAGGGTAGGAATGAAATCCATATGGGAAGTGGGAATTGCATGGTAGGAAGTAGGGAGACAACACAGAAAAAAATCAGGGAAGGGGGAAAGAAACAAAGACAGGAGGGGGTGAAAGAATAAACCCTCAAGGGCAGACATGGTGGTGATAATAAGGCACTTGCTCTTTATCTCCAAGTGACACTGGACCCAGTGTGGCAGGAACAGAGCTAACAGGATGAAGATAACTGGGCCATTTCTTCCTCAGAGAATGTTTCACTTGTCTGCTGTGTCCATATCATTTGGGGAGAATTGTTCTCTGTCTGGAGGACACAAACCACCCTTTTGGCATATCCCAGCCCATGAGCCGTGAGAAAACATCTCCTTTCAGCCAGACTCAGATTAGCCACCTAGCATTGGCCAAGGTGGAAGGAATCATCTCCTGGAGGTGTCTGCCCTCCTTGACCCTTCTGCAGGGAGACATAATTCTTCTCAGGGGAGGTGAATCCCACCCTGATGGATGGGTAGAAAGGAGTGTGTTTGCTGGATGTGCCTGTGCTGCTCAGTGGTGTGTTAGACCCTCCTCTGCTAAACTGAATGGATGGCCACCTTCCATCCAGGACTCAGATGCTTAGGACAGGTAAAATGTCTGTGTTCCTTTCTTCCAAGAGGCAGCAAATCCTGTACTATTAAATTAAATGAACCTGGGGCTTTTTTTAGCACTGAAGCCAGGTAGCATTGAGCCACTCATGTCCATACCAGTTGTGTTAATTCTTGTGTCATGCCTAGAGCTGCTGGACAGGACAAAACTGTGCAAGAGACAAAGATTTGACAGAGAAGGCAATATACCAGTGGTTAGCAACATTAATTTTAGTAGCATGAGGGAACCTAGATCCTAGATTTCCCCAGCCACACCACTGTTGTACAGGTGTCTCATAAATATTGCCCTGCCCTACCATTCCCAAAGCACCTCTGGCTACTGTCCTAGTTGCTGACCCTGGAAAGCAAGGAGGGTGTTGAGGAAACTTTCCTGTGTGACCACCCAAGAGCCACACTTGCACCACCTAAGCTAGGACCAAGGTACCTTTATGGCTACACACATCTCCCCATCCCAGTCAGACCAGGTTTCCTTACCAGCTCATCCCCAGATTTTGCATAGCAGACTCTCAGACGTCAGGATCCTTAAAATAATTTCATCATGGTGCAACAACAAAAAAACAACTTGAGCTGTGTGCCTTCAAGGAAGGACCCGCAAGAATGGAAACCTTCAGCTTTTATAGCCTCCCAGTCTAAGTGTGCCAAAGCCTGGCATCGTTGGCTCCTGCTATGTCTCTGAGTGTCCAGTCATTTGCTCTTCAGCTGCACACCAAGCTGACAATACCAAACGTGTTCCTCAGCAAGTGGAAGCATCTTGGCACAATCCAAAGGGATTCAGCATCATTTCTTCAGAGCCCTCACTTGTGTCTCATGAGCTTTGAAAGCAGAAGAGATTGCTCAGCTCTGCAGGGTGAGTGACTCTAGTTGTTCCTGTCAAGAGAAAGAAAGGATGATGTCAGGTTTGTATGAGAAGTGGCTGGGATTGACAGCTGCCTGCTACCACACAATGAGAAAACAACTTTAGCACTGTAAGCAGGATATTTACTACCAAGGATTCACAGAAACTATCATAAAGGGTTGTGATAAGTGGATCTGGTACATTTTGCAACCCTTGAGGGCCTTTTCCTAATTTGCCATGTGATTTATCAACCTTTTATTGTCCTCTAGGGCTTTACACATATTGATGGCACTGACCTTGAAAAGCCCATGGCCTAACATGTGAATGATATTATTGTGTGTGGAATGACAACAGAATTCTAGGTCAGAGACTGGAGGTAGACATGTGAATGTGGAGACTGAACAAGCTGGAGACTATTTCCAAGTGCCAGTTTGTGCAGGCCAGGGTCTCAGAAGGATTCACAAAGCAGTATCTGCATCCTGGCACTGCTGTCACTGCAGGCTAAGAGAAGTGACTGACTTGCCTTTTCTTCTGAGCCACACATGGCTGAGCTGCTGCAGAATCCCACAGCATAATGCAAGCTCTATCAAGTTAAGTCACACTGGGGTCTTGCAAAACACAGTGCAATTGTCCCTGCTTTACAGTGGGAAGTGTAAGATTGTAGCGTATACCAATGGCAGATGGAAACAGCAATCCCTCAAGCCATGCTCTTGCCATTTCAGGCAGGGTTCTCCAAACCGGGAGAGGTTCTCACCCTACCAGAGGCATTGTCCTTGGATCATGCCCCTCCTTATGGAGTCACTCCTTGGTTTCTTATAACTATTGCAATAAACACTGACCCAAGAGGTCATTCCCCTCCTGCTCACAGACAACACAACTCAGGATATTTCTTTATACAGGAGAATATGACTTGAAAGTGTTTAATGCGCCAATCAGGCTGCAGCTGCTGTGGGTGAAATGCAAGCACAGGTCAGGTCAGCAGGCAGTTTTCCATGCATTTCCAACAGGACATCCAGTCTACACATCCTTCAAATTAAGGCTAAATATAGACTGGGTTCATGAAATTCAAAATCTCCTAGGTAGAGAAGAATGCACCCTGGACTTCTCCAACTACAAAAATCCCCTTCAGATCTGAGGAGCTTATAGATTATTTATGTTGGCTAAGCATGAGCAGTGTTGAAGCTGAGATGTCTAACAGGTCAGGAATTAAAATAAGACTCAGCTCTGATCTTTGCTCTAAACATAATGCAAAGTAAACCCTGCCCCAATCCCTGTTTCAGACAAATCCTGTTCTACCACAGCTTCACAAACCTACTTTCTCTTTGTCATTCAGAGGGGCTCCCTGACTGCATCTCTGAGCTGTTTTCAACTACAGTAAAAGAACCAGGGAAGAAGATCTGATTTTCTCACTCATCAGTTGGAGGTTTGCTGAAAAAACAAACACTAATGAGAGTCAAGAGGTGGTAAATGAGTGTTAAGAGTGCAGTCCAACCTGGGAACCAGCCTTGCATAGGAAGATGCATTCTCCCTTGCAGAAAACAGAGCAGTAGCTCCAGCAGCATGGTCTCTGCAGCCACAAAATGACCAACGAGAAGGGGACAGATGAAACTTCCCTGTGTTGAGATGTCAGAGTCTGGCCCATTTGGGAGAGCATAAACCAGGGACAGAAACCAGGTTATAATTGGTCTCCTCTCGACTGGAGACATCCGAGAGATGCAGCTGTTTGTTTCCCATCCTACCTTGGGAAGCAGGTAGGATGCTGTAACATCTGAGGAGGTCATTGGGGTTGAGGTGGAAAACATCTGTGTAGTCTCAGAGCTGGGGTTGGCAGTGGGTATGTAGCTGCTATCACACACTGCAGGGAAAGCCAGGATCCTGCCATAGTGCTGGTGCAATCTGGGAAGGCCCCTGTGAGCTAAACACGGCCTTTCCCTGCAGCCTATGGCTCTTGGGGGAACCTTAGATCTCCTCAGCCGCACCAAGGCACAGCTCGGGCTGGGGCAGCGCCTGCAGCAGATTTAAGGACACTCGGGGTGACAGCCCAGCCAGGCGCAGGCACCGTACCGGGGCTAATGCTCCTCTATCCAGCAGGGGACTGTTGCCCTGGGCTCCTGCAGGCACCGCGGAGGACTCTGCCTGCCTCCCCGAGGGGTCTGTGGTGTTTCCAGCGGCCTGCGCACGGCGAGGGGTCTGAGGTGTTTCCAGCGGCCTGCGCACGGCAAGGGCCGGCG